AAGTTTATAAGCCGAAGTTTTAAAGCTTACAGAATTCTTCGTAACTATTTAGTTCTCAAAAATATTTGTATTAAAAAATCAGGTTATATAGTAAATAAAATGATTAATGGATATCGTAACTATATTCACATAGTTGTCAATACAGACATCCAGTTGTCATTTTTTGCATGTCATTTAATTGGATAAGTTTGGTAATCAGTACTCTACCGCATATAATAGATGTCATCATTATCAATAACTCAAACTCAAACTCTCTTTATTTCATAAAATTTTCAAAATTGTTTGAAGTCGTCATTTATGCAGACAATAGCCTTTAATAATCCACTGCTGGACGTAGGTCTCTCCTTAGAAAGGAGCCTACTATACTACGCTGGCCAGACGGGTTGGTAAAAAGATTGCGCCAAGTTTTCCTTCTCTTTGCAGTGCTGTTGTCCCGCACAGTTTGTTCCTTAGTTGGCTCTTACGACATCCACGGCATGAATAGGGGTAGTAACATGCCGTATTCTCAATCTGTCACGCATAGAATAGCAACCGAGGTTTTGCTGAAAGCCATCGCTACACCACCTATGAGATACAGGTCTATCTTAGTAACATATTTTTAAACAAATACTGTCGACGCATACTGTCTCCTTTTTACCTCTTACCACTTATCTACCCTTACCCCTTATCACTTAACTAATTATATGTTTGTACCTTTACTTAATGCCGATAGGTATTACATAAACATACTCACAAATGGAAAAGTGATTCTTTGTATATTTTGTATATGATGTGTGTGTGATTTTCACACAGTCAAAATTAATGTAACGGTGACCTTACTCGAATGCGAAAATATACAATACTAACCTACTTCTAAGTTCAATTGTATCTATCTATGAGAGAAATCTGTGGGTCTGCTTTTATATTTAGAAAATAAAGAAGATAAACGAAATGAGAAAAGAATATCGGTGTTCTTCAACGTCACATCATGATACACTGTTCTTCCTATATTTGCATCAGCCACGCTCCAACAGATGTCCAGTTAATGTACTACGGAAGAATTTAAACGGTCGACTTCCACAATCAGCGTGAAGCCTTCGCGTCATTATACGCCACAGTATGTAAGGAATGTCAGTTTTTGTGGCCCGACGTGTAAACGATTTTATAGATACATTCTTGATTTGATATATTTAAAAAATAAAGGTACGGTCTCATTTAGCGGAAGTGGGGTCACGTTATGTGACGAAAAAGTTGATGAGACATTCTTGTTCAATAGTGTATATCACATTTCAGCTTATAAACTGAAATTTCCTTTAAGTTTGCTAGTAGTTAGATGTCTATTGAAATATCACAGGTAAATATGTATGTTACATTTTGTAACGTACACCCTATTGTAACACGTGTTCTTGTTAAATATTATCTCAAAGTACTTATCACTTTTATAATAAACAGAATAAAATTGAAAGCCTTTAAGAATAGATTAAGATGGTTTTATATTTTTGGTAGTTAAATTTATAAGAAGGTGAAAATAATAGGTATGGATTTAAAAAATGCCTAAATTTTATTCGTTCTTTATTTTTTACCCAAAAGAAAAAAGAAGGAAGTTCTCTAATAAATTCATAATTTTTTGTCTATTTATTACTCCAACATTTTTATAGGGTAGTCTGATTTTCATAATCCCCTTTTTTTTCTTATTAAAAAAACGGTTTTACACTATTTTTTTATCTGTAAACCGATTTTGTTTAAAATTGGTACACAATCATGTAGTTTTAATTACACTACAAGATAACAGAAATCTGCAGTTGATCTCATCATAACGGAGTACAACAGCTACCACGCATTTGAACTGTTTTATTTTAAATGGATTCCGGATCAAACTGAAACTTTGTACACACATATTCATTTCTGCGTTTCTAAGATTGACGTGTTGTGTACATATATGAGATTTGAATACTTTTGGTTTCCAAATTCGAACAATAAAAATCCTTCTGTTCCTTTTCCCCACATACGCAAGCACAAGATTACAAAAGATATAGAAAAACCTTTCTTGAAAGTGTAATAAAGCAAATCATCACACAAAAACGGTCTAAGTAAATCCCTAAGGATGATCACTGCTCCTCAACTAAAATTAATATCTAGACATACTGGAATGCCTAATTATATAAAGTGTTGCCTTTTAACTGTTTTTATTTTTAAAAGACAACTGCCGCACAAAGTGTTGGACCATGTGGGGATTGAACCCACAACACTCGAATCAAGAACAAGTCGCGAAGCGACCGTTTAAGCTGCTACGCCATTCGCGCATTCAATACTTCTAAAACAGAAAGCTTTAAAAAAACTACCGGGATGTAACAGAATTATCTTGAAAGTGTAGACTGTAAGCACATATCAATAAATTAAACTGTTCACCGCTTTAAAATGTCAAACACATGCATCCAAGGCTGAGAACACACACGAAAATCGATTAATCATCAAATTTATTCGCTATTACGCCAATCGATCATCGAAAACAAACAATCCATTCAATCGAATTAATAACACTGACCATCGTTCCCACAATCATACTTAACGATGGTTGAAAAAAAGTCCAATCACTCAAATAAAAAATGTCGGGAGGTACATTTAAAAGGGACTCCCAGGTGAGATGAAAGAGCCGCGCAGGCGCTCAGCGGCGCGTCGGTCGGGTGCGCAAGCGCATGTTAACATGCTACAGACGGACGGAAAGACACTTCCTTACCTTTTTTTCTCTGTTTAATAGATAAATTATTTTGATGATATTAATTGATAATAATAAGATCTGAATAATAATAATAAGTAACTCAATATATATACGTACGTGTGATGCAATGGTTTTATATAAATAATTGTAATAACATATTTGATAGTTCTATATTGGTGATTAAAATTTATCTAATTACGTAATAAATGTGTAAAAATATTTTCTCACTAATGGTTAAAAACAATACCGGACAGCAGTTTTTAATTGTTAAAATGGAAAATAAAAAACTACCACAATCCTCTCATAGTAATCTCTTTCTAAAAATCAAAACAAGTTCAGAAAAAAGTTTTGCATTCTAAAGTCTCAGGGGTAATAAATCAATACATCCTGCGCGTGCGCAGGTTACATAAACACGTTAACGTCAGATCACACGATAATAATCGTTCAGTTTTGCATCACATGATTCTATTTATTTTTATTCATACTAATCGGCAGATATATTATTATTTGTACATTTTGTGATTTTGAATTTCTTCACCAGTTTGCGTTCTCCGTCACTTAGGATAAATATAACACTTGCATTTTTGTCACTTTGTTAACCTTAAGATCACCATTTTATATTATTTTACCTTCACATCACGCAGGCCACTCACACTCTTACTTTAAAACATAAAGGGTTGCATGCATATAACACGGTCTCTCTTCGAACAAAACCTCTTTTAGCGGACACTCAGTGTGACCTGCAAAAATATCTTACCGATCCTTCAAGAACATTAAAGATTTAAAGAGACTTGACTGCATGGAATGAACACTAGAATTTTATAAGCTAGAATATTTTTTTTATAAATCGGTTTGCTACTTATACAGTTAAGCAATCGTATAAATACCGACCTCTCTTCGAGCACGGAGGGCACACATGCTGACATGATGAATGTAAAATATAGAAAAAATCTTATGAAATTGCCTATGCAGTTTGTCAGTACTTCCTGTACGTGACTAAATTATATGATTTATATGATTTATTTTGAGGTAGTTTTATGGAATATTCCATACATTCTGCGTTACTGAAATATAACAATATTTCAGTAACGTATGCAAAACCATCTATAAGAAACCGCCGGCACAAAAATATATATCTATGTATTAATATGAGTATTCGCCTATTATTATTTGGAAAACTATTGAAGTCAGACCTACTGAAACTACAAAAGGTCTCCGGTGCAACATCAAATCCAGTTAAACCTTTGTAATAGCTGTGATTTTTTATAACAAAGAACATGCCCTAAAATCGACACAATATCAGCTCATCACAGCAATACGTTTCTCTAAGAAAAGAAAGAGAAGTTTTATTCTTATTTACCAGGGTGTGTTTTTAGTAATTAAACTAAACATTGAAGTCTTATCCTAGATTGGGATAAGTCTTCAAACTGCAAAATTTGCTTTTTATATGCACCAATAATGACAAACTAAAAAAACGAACTTTTTTTATTAAATGTTAAAAGTGCAGAACACAAAAGATTTCCGATTGAGTTAGACAACACACAACGATAAATCAAAACATGCGCCCGCGTCGTCGGCGCGGCGATTACACAACGTTCGTAAGAGATGCTATGGTAATATGTGAATGACAAGAGACACCTGTCCGGAACATTGCATCCGTGCATTGTTTTAACATCCTACGAGTGAAATAATTTCTTCTTAGTAAAACAGGAATAGTTCTTTAATAGTTTTGCTTAGAATTTACTGGTTAAGAATAAATGAGAAGAAAAGTAAAAACGACTGTACTTTCATGAGTGCAATTTAAAGAGACAGCTAATTCTTTACGAAAAACTAAAATTATCATCGTCAGAGATTTGTCTGAATCACAAACACCTCCTCCTCCACCACCTCTTCCTGTCATATTTTAGGAGAGGAAATAAATAAAACAGTCATTCACATCATCATGAACAGCCTTTACTAGTCCACTGCTGGACATAGGACTCTCCTTAGAAATTAGTATTGGCCTACTATACCACGCTGGTCAGACGGGTTGGTATAGTTCTTTTTTTAAGTTTTCTTCCTTCTTTTCCTTCTGTTTGCTGTTTGCTGTTATCATGCAGAGTTTGCTCTCTTAATCGGCTCTTACAACAATAGGGGTGGTGACACTATTATTAATCCGTTACCACAAGGACAACAAAATAGTCACTAGCCTATTGAAAACAAATATATCCTTAAACATTGTTATATATATATATATCAGTCGTCAAAATACTGCACGACAATTATTATACTATTTTGTAAATATTGTATTTGTATTGTTCAGATTCGAGCCAACCAAATCCACAAAAGGCGCAAGCAAGATGCGGCGCGATCTCATCAACGCTGAAATCTCGAATCTTCGAGACCTGCTGCCACTACCTCCATCGACAAGGCAGCGACTCTCCCAACTTCAACTTATGGCCCTCGTTTGTGTCTACGTCAGGAAGATGAATTATTTCCAGCAAGGTAATACAACTTTTCTGTTTAATTTTGAGGTTTGAATCTAAACTAGCAAAGAAGAGAACGAGAATAATAGCCAAGAGTTTTTTGGATTCTAAATTGATGCAGAATGCAGAAGGGCAGACATTAGCCCTCGTGAATACGGGATATCAGTAGATAGGTCTACAAAAAACCAAGGTCAACTTTCAAGAAGTGTATTATAATTATTATTTTCCGCGATACACTAAATTTTTCGGGGTAAATGGTAGCCCATGCTCTAATCTAGGGTGTCAGCTACCCCCACATGAAAAATTGGTTGGTTAATTGGTTAAGAAGTAACAAACACACAACACACACAAACTTTCGACTTTATAATGTTAGTGTGATTGACGACTAAAATGGTCAAAACAAGGTAGAAAGCACATGACAATCAATTAGTTCATGTAAACAGCACAAAACATAATAACTACAACCTGCAGCTAGATGACTTTATTAAGAACCGTGAACCACTTTTGGGATTACTCATTACAATATAATGTTCCCAGCACACCCACGCAACTATTTGTGAACGCGTTATGTAACAAAACAGACTAGGTCAGGATTAAATAGATGACGTTATAATCATCTACGATTAAAATACAAAACCCTAGCTGTGTATATGCATTGGTGACTAATGGACATAATACACAATCTGTTTAATATTTCGGAAATACGCCGCCGTACGTTTTACTTGGAATGTCTAAAAACACTGTTAAAATAAAAGTATATAGATAAACTTAGTTATATATGGGTAATCAGATATTATAAATTTTATTAAAACTGATCTACAAAAAATTGAATTAGATAATTTTTTTAGTATCACTTTGACCGCAGGGATGGCGCAGTGGTTTAAGCGGTTGTGGGTTCGAACCCCGCAACGAAACAACACTTTGTGTAATCCACAAATTGATGTTCTGAGTCTGGTTCTTTGTGCCCATTTCATGTATGTTTGTAAAATCCCCCGCGACATAGAAATAGATTCCTAATGTGGGAGTTGTCTTTTTAAAATATAAAAATATATAAATCATCATTCACATCATTATATTTGTCAACCAACTTTATTTATTCACATATCCTGCAATTACATTACATAAAGGATTTTATTCGCATTTCCTTCCAGTCATCCTTGTGTTTTAAATTTTTTCTGTCAGCTTAGATGTTCATTTGATTTATAGGTACACTATACATTTAAATTTATAGGTGTTTCAATTAGGAGATCATTATATTTAGATTCATATAAAAAATAAGTAATAGATGATAATACATCAATGCCTTCAATAGCAAACAATTACGATCAGACGGTCACTATTTGTAGCGCTAGTTCGCTTTGTACCTGCTAACCTCATTTATCTTAAGATATCTTGATAGAATGAATGATCTTCTAGAATCGATTAGATGAATGATTAGATTTTGATTTTTATTTAATTAGAAATAAAATATAATCAATTGATATCGCATTTAATAATACATAACAGCAAATATTATTCGTGAATAGTATATACACAGGAGCGTACATTTTGCCCTTGATGCAAATGTACGATAAATATGAACTCGTTAAATAATATTAATATTAAAAAACTTTTTCTACCTAGAAACTTGCCAGTAACCTCATTTTACAAACGAAGCGTTTGCGGAGTTTATGTAAACCTTTTTTTTTTTTTTTTTTTTTTTCCGTGCGGAAATCCCCTCGGATACCACCTGTCGGTGGCATGTCGGACTCGAACCGACTAAAACCGCACGCCGTCTCGGGTACTAATAGCCGGGGAACCAGGTATACCCTAGACAGGAAGTCCCTGGTGCCCCGACATACCTTGGGTCATCTACAGACGAGTAGACGACCCGGGGGGGGGAAGCGAGCGCGCTTCGCAACGCGGTACCTGACCCGTTCCCGGGCCTGGCGGGCCGGGAGAGTCCTAAACCTCTCCCGGTCCCGCTCCACCGTCTCCTTCGCGATCATAACTTGCTCGCGGAAGGAGACGGCAGAGTTCCACGTACTCTCGCTCCGCACGATAGCCGCAATCAGGCTATCGAGCGAGAGAACTCCCACTCCGATGGCCGCCACGAGGTCTCGCCTCTGCTCAACCCACGCCGGGCACTCTGCCAGCGTGTGGAGAGCCGTGTCCACGGTCTGGCCATCGCAGTGGTGGCACTCAGGCGTTGGCTCCTTGCGGATCAGACACAGGTGATCCCCGAAACATCCTTTCCCAGTGATCACCTGCGTCAGTCGGTATGAGAGGGTCCCGTGACGCCTCTCGAGCCAATCCTCCATAACGGGTCTTACCGCCGCGATGACGGCGTGCCCGGGGTTTATGTACACCTAAATAAAAATGTTAACTTATTAAAAACATTGCAATAAAAATACATAGTAAATTTAAAATAAGATGTAAGAAATGTAATTTTAGAAAAATATATGATGTAGAAATTGTATTAATATTATAATTAATAAATAATTAATAAAATAAATAAAACGTTAGAGGAGTACAGTACTTTTTCTATTTAATATTAAACAACTTAAAACCAAAAATATACAAATATTGGAAACGCATCGCTGCGATTTCATTAAAATCAGAGGTAGTACTTATGTGAGACCCGTAGGTTGCATTTTCTTTGCGGCTGCTGTTATTAAAATTACCTCAGTGAAGTAAAACGCTCTAACATTACAAGGACTTATAACACTTAACATTATACTACTCTTCAAGTGAATAATTAAAAATCTTATGCTATTATCTTATTTTTTAATAGTTAAGTCTAATTAAAGTTTTTTTGGTGTCATTAAACTTTTGAACGTAATGGGTTCATATTATAATTAGGTAATTTAACCTTTAGCTACTGAATAAACATAACGATTAAATGATCTCTTAAGGTGGCATTTGGGCGTCTTTTATGTATTTACAAAAAAAGTGTATGAGTATTCTATCAGTCAATCTAACTTTTATAGCACAAGCTCTGCTTAGTTTGAAACTAGATGACGTTATGGCAGTTGTATGAAATATTTATTTACTAGCTTTTGGCCACAGCCCCGCCCGCGTATATGGTCGGTATCGATCACATCACATTTTGAAAGCTATATTTCTAGTTACACAGTTAGGCATAGCCCTATATGAAAAAAAAAATGAAAAACCAAACATTGAATCCTGAAGTCTTATAAAGGCAGTGGTAATGCGTTTTGCGAAATTCTGTAGAAACCCTTGCTAATATTCCTTCCAAGTATGGTGGTATAATCTAATAACTAACTCTAATGTTTAATTTTCTTTACGCTCGGATCAAAATTGGAACATTGCTTATTCTTACCATTCCAAAGGTACATGCTTATTACTAAGAACTCTAAATAGTATACAATTAAACATATTTTAATATTCTCGCATATTTCGTAAAAAGAGAAGTTATAAAATTAGCAGCCATTAAAACATAAGATTAATCAGTCACGATTTACGAGCAAGTAGAATTCAAAACTACAAACAGATGCTACGAGTACAATCATTGAAATACGTAATAATTTCTCACACTCTCAAACATTTCATCAAAACAACAGTTACTCCCTTTACTTCATAAAGTCGTGCATTCTCATATTCATCTTCATTTCCATGTAAGATTTCCCCGTGAAGTTCTCATGCTCCAAATCTTTGGCCAGGCTCATCACGTCCTCCGTTATCCTTCATCTTGAACGCCGTCTCCCAAACTTTTTGTCAACTCACCTTCAGTCACGAAAAGGCATATTAAGACGTTTAAAATGCATTTAGTTCGCTATCTTATCTACCGTTGTTATTACTTCACCCATAATACCGTCTTTCTTTCTGTTTTAGTGTTCAAGAGTCACGATTTCAGCTATCAGTATCAGGAACAATCCACTCCTACACCTAATATTGGGTTTTCTAAGGTTTGTTTTATTTATTTTTTTCAAGTTTACGACTGTTTGACAAAAACACATAAACTTAGTTTACAATGTTTTTCAGGCAATGAACGGTTTTATGATGATGATGACACAGAATGGAAAACTATTATACATATCGGAAAATGCAGCGGAATACTTAGGACATTCAATGGTAAGTTTCAAAAACTTTAATATTATTGGGGTACTATTAAAATTTCAAAGTTTCTGAACACTGTTTCATGTTCTAGGAGGATTTATTAATACACGGTGATAGTGTTTACGACATAATAGATAGACAAGACCACCAAACAGTTCAAATGGAGTTAAACAGAGGCGGTAACGGAGAGACTGAAAACGTACCAAAGAATAGGCATTTCTTCTGTAGAATGAATGTTTCAAGAAACGCCAGGAGACAAATGAGATTCGGTGACCAAAAAGTAAGATTTATAACTTTATTATATTCCGTTTCACTTATTCTCTATATTGGAACAATATATTAAGTGTTCAATTTATTAAGTATGCTAGTAACGCCACACAGTAGTATTTTTTTTACCCATTTCGCAAAGATAATGCCAGACTTGGTTTGGGTTCAGACTTGGTTTATACCAATAGTGAATAGTATAGGTATAATACAGCAGATTGGGCATATTCGTTCATTTTAAATACCTTCATATTTTTTCAGGTAGTCCTTATCCGCGGCCATTATGTCTCGTACTTACCTTTATGCAGTCGCAACGAGCCTGTATTTCTATGTGTGTGTACACCGCTCGCTATGCCAGAGACACGCGAATGTGTAGTACATGGCGCCACGAATGTCTTCACTACCGTACACTCCATGGATATGAAGATATTGCATATCGACACTAAGTAAGTTTAAAACGGTTCCGTTGTACTTACTGATGACACATTACACACACGCACACAGTAATTACCTACAAAGGTAATTATCGTTTCTTAAAAATGGAACTTAAATCTTTATAAAAAAACCATGGTTGCAGGACTTAAAGAAGAAATTGTAAAAAAATATTTTAATGTTATCCCATTCAGGAAACGCCCTAAATCGTTAAATTTCTTTTTTTTTACGTTTTCAAACTATGAATTCTAAATGTAATCGCTGACTAAATGCTAGCTAGCTAGCTAGCTATACATTTTTTTGATGAATATATGTACAGTATGTACATATATTCATCAAAAAAATGTAAATTAAATAATTTCATCGTTATTTATATGTAAATATCGTTAAAATTGCATCCCTGATATCACTGATAATACAATATTCCATAAAAATCAAGCACAGTCTAGTCAAGATTTCAAGCAATTTAATACATAGTAATAGTGTTGATTTGCACTTTCTACACCAAACTCGCGTGATCTCCGAATACGGACAAAAAATTAACAAGCAAATTGAAGCTGTATAAAGTAAAAAAAGGAGTTTCCGCTCCTTGCCTATAGACAGTCTTGTGGTCTTCAATATTGACTACCAATTCATTGAATAACGGTATATATTAATCAATTTTTGAACAAGATTAATTGTTGCTATATGAAATAAATAAATTCATAGCGTTATTTTAAAGCCTATTTTAGATTCAATAAATATTAAGTGCAAAGTCTTCATACGCATCACGCGTTTAATTAATTTTTTAATTAAGAAATAATTAATTTCATTAATTGAGAAATGGTGAGTGAGTGGGACTAGAAATGCTTAGTTTTGTTCTTTTTTTACCCAGTGACTGTTACTCGTGAGTTCATCCGATACTTAAACTAAAGATTAATTCTGCACTAATTATTAAATTTAGAATTTTGTACTCACTTATAAAAGAGACCGATATCAGATGATTGTAGAATGGCCAACTAAACAGTATTTACAGACATAACGGCTACTTCAATGTATATTTATATAAACATTTTTATTGCAATGACTAAATTTGTTTCAGTGGCGAATGGTATTTGGGATGGAAGAAGTCTGAATTAGCCGACGTTTCATGGTACCAGTTAATACATTGGGACAGCTTACGAGAAGCCCAGAGTAAACACAGACTTAGTAAGTATCTAGATAAAAGTATATTACAAAGATCCATTCATCCATCCATTACAAGAATCCATCTTGTCTAATTAGCTATGATTGAAATTGAAAAATTAATTTGACACGAGTTTTATGTGAACTGTTTTGTGTCTGCATAGTATAGATATTATTTATTTTAAATATGTATGTATTTAGTAATGTAAATGACTGCGAAGGCGATGGCGTAGTGGTTTAAGCGGTCGCCACGCAGCTTACTGCTACGCTGAGTTTTGTGGGTCCGATCCCCACATAGGAAGACACTTTGTGTGATCCACAAATTTTTGTTCTGAGTCTGGGTGTTCTCTGTGTCCGTTTTATGTATGTTTGTTAAGTCCCCTGCGACACTGCATATTTTCCTAATGCGGGAGTTGTCAAAAACAAAAAAAAATGTTATATACTAGTACGGACACTGCCCAGTTTGTGACCAGACAGACGTGTGTGCTTTGTCCCGATTTTTTTCTCCAAGCTTTTTACCAAAATAGGATTACGGTCGGCTTTTAACTTCTATTTTTTTACGCGGAGTGACAGCTACTAAACCTCCACCACCCAAATATTAGGCAATATCTGTAGAAGTTCTGCAGAAAGACTGTTTTTGGACTTTTTAAGGCTCCAATTACCCGTAACAATTGAAACAGGTGTTCGAGCGGCAACCGGGACCGGCTGCCAACGTGCTCTCCGAGGCACAGAGGGGTCTCAATGTGTTAAGAATGGTCACCCTTCCATATACTGACCTGGCTAAGATTGCTTAACTTTGCAATATGTTAACATACTTGGTTACAACTTTGCCACGAGCCGGGAATCATATTGTCATTATTCTGAAGTAGTAGATACAGTGGTTACGAAACCGATATCTCTTCAACATGCTAGTCAATCGATAGTCACGGGTGTGTCAGACACATTAAGTGCTAATTGTATTAAAATATGTAAACAATCTAAATATTTAATTATTTATAAGAATCTTAAGCTTCAGTCCTGAGATGTCAATAACCTTTTATTGTTAATATTCTACATACTGCTGTAAGTAATTTGCGTAAAGCTGTAATTACCTACATTTATTTGTACATATTAATGTAAAAGTATTATCGTGATAAGATTCTTACACTTACATACTTTTATGGGTGTCGTAAGAGCCGACTAAGGGAGCAAACTAAGCAGGACAACAGCACTGCAAAGAGAAGGAAAACTTGAAACAAACCCTATACCAACCCGTCTGGCCAGCGTGGTATAGTAGGCCAAAACCTCCTTTCTAAGGAGAGGCCTATGTCCAGCAGTGGACTAGTATAGGCTGTTGATGAGCACATACTTTTAGGGTATTTAGGTGCACCGTCTTCTTCCTCAAATAGGTTCGTATCGGTTTTAAGTCTGCGAAGTGACTACCATCAGATGTCCACAACCCAAGTAGGCGATATCAAAGTTCTGTGGGAAGACTGTTCTGTTGGACTTTTTAGGGCCCAAACTACCACGGAATTTCGTATGGCAACATTGTACGATTATATGTGCATAAATATTATATGATGCAGCAGCATGGACACGGATGAAGTAGACTTGACCTTGAGAAGTGTTCATTCTAACATAACTCTGATAAAACCTTTCTACACTAATAGTAGACTAAGGAATGACCAACTGTAGACCACATAAGTATCCTACATCTATAAAAATAAATAAAATTCAAGTGTCTGTTTGTAATGTCAAAATCATAGGTTTTTTTCATGCTCACTCGGTTGTTTGCTGGTCCGCGAATCGAATCCAAGGCCTCTTGGACTGCAGTCGCGTACCGTACTTCACCACTAATGCAATGCTTTTCAACTTGCACGTGAATGAAATCGCGGGTACCAGCTAGTTATAAGTATATCGCAAAAGAGAAATATTTCAATTATTTACAGCCTTATTAAAGTCGATATCATAAATTACGTAAGTGAAAAATAGTCAATGTAAATAATAATTTCTAAAAAACTACGTAGTAACATATTTAGTAATTAAATTAAAAAGTCCATCAAAAAGTGACAGGCCAATTATACAGAATCTTATTACATTTAACTTTTTTGGTTATATAATAAAGGGACGTATTCAATATTTACATAGAACCGAACTCTAATACATGAGTTCTAAATGTTTATTCTACACACTGTTTTTGATAAATTCTAATTACCTACTTAGTACGGATTACTGTTTGCTTTTTATTTTCTAACTACGAGTATATATGTGTATGTCAGTTATTGGGGTGAAAAGTAACCTATGTTACTCGCTGATTATGTAGCTTTCCATTTGTGAAAGAATATTTATTTGTGTGGAAGAGGGGTTAAACAAGTCACCTGATGGAAAGCGACTACCGCCGCCCATGAACGCCTGCAACTTATTAGTCACAAGCGCGTTGCCGGCCTTTGAGGAAGGAATACGCTCTTATCTTGAAGGTTTGAAGTTCGTATCGGTCCGGAAATACCGCAGACGATAACTTGTGCCACTGGTTTTTTTTTTTTTACAACTCCCGCACTAGGAATATATCCCATGTGGCGAGGACTTCACAAACACACATGAAACGGACACAAAGAACACCCAGACTAGGAACAATAATTTTTGGATCACACAAAGTGTTGCCTATGTGGGGATCGATCCCACAACACTCAGCGTAGTAGAAAGCGGCGAGGTCACCGCTTAAACCACTACGCCATTTGTGCAGTCTTGAAAAGCGCACAGTGGTGAAGTGCCATATCCAAGTGGTGAGGATGAAAATTTTGCCGTGTAGAACGACGATAAAAATATTTTTTTAATCAGTTTAGTAGTTTAGGCGTGAAAGCGTAACAAACAAACAAACTCGCTTTCACATTTATAATATAAGCATGGATGTTGTTTTCGATCCTTATTAAAGTTCTTTTACATCTGTTTTTTAAGGGTTATATATATTGGGTTATTGTTTTTAAGGGTGTAATATAATATTATTTATAACAATAGTTATATTGTTATAATAATATTAAATTTAACAGTTTCTTTACCAGTTAAGTCACAATTATGTCCTATTTTTGCCATGTTAACTTATTCTAAGTCTTACTAACTCTTACTGGGAGGGACAAACTAAGAAAGGTTTGACTGTGTCAAACCTAAGCCAATGGATAAGCCAATGGAGTTTTTCGATCCACTCATTCATCCAATCTTGGGTATGCCGTAGATGTTAGATTGCTTAAATCTCCAAAAAAAAACAACATTTCTAATAACCACAGCATTTAACAATAAGTGTATCTAAAAGCTTACTCATAGTCATTCGGTCCTCTTGTTACAAAAGTCAATAGCACAATGTACATACTCTCCACTATCTTCTTCTTCTTGTCACTTCTTTTCTGACTTAGCAGTAAAATAAATTGATGTTGCTTGTTGCAGTAACACAATCGGAACAAGACAAATGCTGCATACTGCTTGTGAAGTTGCAGCAACGTAACGGTCAATTCCTCTGGGTACATGTCGTGTTGCAAGTGAAAGATGCTACGGACACGCCAAGGCAATTCATTGTTGCCACTAATCAAATTCTAAGGTATTTATAATTAAATTATAATTTATAAGTATTTTTTTCAAGCAAACTTCAATAACTATACTTTTTTCTCTTTAACGTATACATTCTAAAATTAATACTTTTTTTAAATATGTGTCAATAAACTAATATTTTTTCGACTATTTACCAATTTTGTGTAATCATTTAACTTGTTAACTAAATCGAGAAAAAAAATCCGAATAAAATCAGCTCTGATGGTTATTGTATGTACAGTATATTATAAGCGTGTAATATGTTGTTACATAAAAAAAGACATGGTATTTAATATTAATCTATCTTAATATCGGATGATTAACGCATTTACATCCTAGTTTTTTATCTACAGCGAAGAAGAAGCGACAGTAATGTTAGCCAACTCCTGGTTATATCAATACTACGGTTACCAAAACCAGCCTTGTGGTATGCTAGACCCTCGATGCCAGAAATTCTTCAGGAGAGACCAGTGTTACCAAGATCCTTATCAAGAATACCCGTATATTGAAAACCAAGAACTTGAGTATACGGGTTACCATGTATCAGCGTATGTTCAACCGAAAACCATAGAAGACTACAGCGGCTGTGAAAGAGTGTATTCGGAGAGAGGTCCAGTGGATTATTCTACTCATTCTCCTCAGTCTACAATTAGTGAAGAAAGGTAAGTTTTATCAGAGTCATGTTAGAATGAACACTTCTCAAGGTCAAGTCTGCCTCATCCAAGTCCAAGCTGCTGCAAGCTGTAAATTCGTAGCCTATCTATCAAGTTCTTTATCTAATTATACCAGCACCCAGTCATAAAATAATCGCCATATATTTTAACAATGATCATAGCAAAATAAACCTTTAAGTGTAAAAATACGTTAGGGTAGGCGAGCCACGTAAAAAAAAAAAGAGGCGAGCCACGTTTCGGCTAATATAGGCCAGGCTCGCCATTTTTAATAACGAAATAACTGCTCTTTCGTTGCTTTTCACCGAGTGAGTGAGGGTACCAACGCCCAAACCCAGAGGGGTTTGCGTGTCAGTAACCTTCTGATTCTGGGGGAGGACTCAAAGGCGGCTACGCACTCGTAACTCTTTAAGTTGCAGGTGTAGTGGTTAATTCCCAGTAGTTATATATAGCCAGTTCCACATGGAACTTTTGCTACCCACTAGTTTCATGTATGGAACTAGTGGGTAGCTAGTACTAGAATATTCGAACCCGCAAATTTTACTCATTAGTTCCATGACGTTCTAATTACGTAGCTTGTTGTATTATAAGTTATAAGACATAAAACCCATTTCCTTGTTTTCTTGTGCTACAAAAAAATCATTTTAAGAAGAAATAGTTAATTCTAAAATTCATACCCATAGCAGCAAGAATGCCGACTTTTCACACAAACTCCACATACTTGCTGCCCAGCTCCTTTGAGTAATAGCGTGATGAATGTACACTATATGCTACACAGGATTTCGGTTAACCTAAATCAAAAGTTTCATTTAAATTCGCCTAGCGTGTTTTACGTCAATCGCACAGAACTGACATAGACAGACAAGAATTGAAACAATCACATTTTGGAATCTATTACATCTATAAAGACACACACAAATAAAATTGCACAGGGGTGCAATTTTATTTATTTATTATAAATGTAAAACAAAATAATTTCGAAAAATGAATAAAAAAGTTTGAAAATAAAATAATAATTATAAGTTAATTTAATTAACGTCAGCTGTAAAAGTAGTATCGCATAATTCGCAGTAATCGCATTTTTAAGGTTACATCAGTACCATGCGGAACTGCCTATATGGAACTATTGGGAATAAACTGCGGTAGGTTGGTTGTTGCTGGCAAGAGCTGGATGCGAGAAGCCCAAAATCGATCTAAGTGGCGTGCAATGGGAGAGGCCTATGTCCAGCAGTGGACTGCGATAGGCTGATGATGATGAGGTTGGGTTGTCACTTACCAGCCGGTGACGTTTAAATACATACACTATTATAGATAAATTATACCCAGACACAGAACAAATGACTGTGCTCATCACACAATATTTGTCCTATGTGGATATCGAACCCACTGCTTAGCAGTCAGGGTCACTAACCACTACACAGACAGGCCCGGAGTTTCTGCAGTGGGTGAAACTTTAAAAAAAAAACACCAAACAACCAACAAAGTAACATACATTTCTAATCAACGATAGAGTATTTTACTTATGGTTAGCGTGTACAAGATTTTTAATTTTCTAGAACAACCTTTGGGCTATTCATGTGAAAAATGGGCATAAAAGTAAAATGTCTAACATATTAATAATTACACTTGTAATAAAGGCTAACAAAAGATATAATTATTTCTAAAAGCATTAAGGTTGGGAAAATTAGTCTTAAACACGTAGGCCCTATTTAGGCGTAATACATTTGGCTTTTCTAAAGTGCTTTAGACACGCATATACTCTTTGGTACATAATAACAAAAAAAAGTCCCAATATAGCTATTTTGATAGGACCCCCGGGGTCTCAGTGATCTCTTTTCAGTCGTGACCTCAACAGGGTTATTTATAGAATACTGAATATACAGTGGAATTAACTTTTAGTTATTGACTACTCAATTTTTATTAAATATTATACTGATCATATTTTAAACACATAGTATTAAAATGAGCATTGTTATCAGATCACCTACAAATATGCCGATATTTTTATACAATGTCAAGAAACCAGATTTATAATTAAAAAATAAACAAACTAAAAACAAGGCTGAAGGGAACGTACAATTTGTCATGACACAACAAGGGAATATTATAAACAAGAAAATCATCACCCCGTCCATTCGTCCGACTGTCCGTCAGTCCGCGTAATTTGACACCTTTCATTACCATATATATTGTAAAGTCGCTATTACAAACAATGTTCTACCATTACCTTCAAAATAGATAACTCCTAAATACATTGTTATAAAGTTCAAATTAATCTGTCTCCGATTCCTTTAAATACAATTGTGTGTTGGTCAATATTAACCAAATATAAAAAGGCTGACTTGAAAAGGGTTATGAATATTCGTATGATAGCTTGTTATTTGATGTGTTTCAGTATTGGTTTTGACGCACAATGTTTATTATGGAAATTATCACTTTTTACTAATAGATACTAAAATTAAAATGACTTTAGTCAATATGATCGCTGTTTATGTAAATCGAATTGTTTTTGTTCGATCTAAGTGATCAAAAAGTTTCTACTAACTTCAAGATGTTCGATTACCATCTTCGCACACACATCAAGGACAAATGACAAACCAAAACATATGTCCACGGTTGGCGGTAGACACTTACCATAAGGTGAACCGTCTGGTCGTTTGCATCGTATTACATTAAAAATATACAATATGAGAAAAATCAAAACCTATTTTTTTTTAATTCAGCATATCGTCATAGATTTATGGCTAGATTTAACTATTCGAGTTTGGCAGCTAAATACAAAGAGCGGTTAACCTGTCACCTTAACGTACTCGCTCGCCAACTCACCATGGACCAGAATGTGAGACAACTAAAACGTCACCATATCCTAGATCTAGAAGACTGGTAATAGCTCTGGGCAGCAGATGAGTAGATGCTTGCAATGGGAAGTCACTGTTCATAACAGTAAATATCATAAAACAGACGCAAAAAAAACGATCTAACTTTATGTGTTTAATTGTCCCCAGATCACCACATCACTACGACCCTTCACCAGACATAGTAGTTAACAGCAATATGTACATGTACCCTCATCATGGGAAGAGGGAGTACTACGAACAGTATCCTCGAGTTAATTATCATGTCCAAGAACCTTGCACGAGTACTGCCATTGAAGGTAATTTCGATCATCTATACATATAAAATTGCTTGCCATGACTGACTTATTAATTCACGCAGAGTCTAAACCGTTAGGACTACAAACTTGAAATTTTAGCCGCTGATGCGTTTTAAATTATAAGTATCATCTAAGAAAGGATTTTTTGGAATATCACCCCACGATTAAATGGAACTTCACCATTTTCAAAGTTAGAATCATGAAAAAATTAATAATTACATGCTTGAAGACGCGTGCATTTATTACGAGTAATACCTTTAATACCCACCTATTATTTTTTCCACATATAGGTATGGAATACCCGAGCGCTAAACGAATGCGGCTTGCACCACCACCGCTTACCTTGGAAGAAACCGATGGCATGGAGCGATGGAACCCAAGTCCACCATGGTCTGATACCACGCTTAAAATACCAGACTACTCCCAACGGTTCACATACAACCACATGGTGCCAATACCACCTGAGAGAGCTATGGTTACTTAAGACTTTTAGATTATGTTAACTAATATAGGTACAAAAACTATTTTAAAACGACTTTAAAAGTTGTCTTAACTAACTTCCAGATAAAGTCAGAATGTCTATTTATTAATTTGGATCTAATCAAAATATTGATTTTTGTAAAGACCCGCTTACTAGTGGGAATAGCTTTCTGATAGAAATGTGTAGAGTATGTAGTAGGAGTAGGTTTTATTTGTTTGATGGAAAATGTAATGAATTGTATTACAAGTAAAATAGAAATATTACCTGTCTCAAACTTAACTGTTTGTTGGCACTAAAGCTGTTTTGAAATGATTTAACCATTACATATATTATAATATTTATAATGTTCTTTCAATGATACTATTTTCGCTCTTTCGTTACCCGATTTTCATTAAATTACTTGTTTTGTTCAATTGTATTCAAAATCTAGTTATATTATTATTATTTTCTTAAGTATTTTTTTATCTTGACAACTGATTGTACCAAGTTCGTTATTCTATATTTGTTTACAGTTACAAAAAATCTATTGTTTGATAGCCTTCCTATTTCCATTAATACTCATAAAAATGGAATTGAAAAAAATTCAATGAGTTCAACGTTTGTCCCATACACGCAATCAGTAATACCTACGCTTAAAGTTCAATTTAAGTAAAAAAGGTTAGTAACAAAATCCCCGTATTCAATACTGTACAGTTGGTTATAAAAAGTGAAGTAGTACCAATTGTTGTAATAATACTTTTTTTAAGAAATAAGAAGCGTGGAAGCTTCAGTATCAGCAATTCATTATTCGATTTTAAATCGTGAAGCAAAATCGACAAACGATTTTTCACTTGTCGATTTTTATGACAGTCGCAGTAATCTATTCAATTTTTGACAACTTAAAAATGACAAGGTCAAAATTCAGTTGAATTTCAGTCTACTCGAGTAGAAAGACGTCGGCTTGTCGATTTTCTAAAATGAAGTGAGTGACTGATTTAGATTTTTTTTCCTATTCTACGCATTTAAATTGTTACTAGATATGTCTATACTAGATATCTTTTAGCTCAAATTTATTAATTTAAGTTTTTAGTAGATATTAAATAAATTTAAGATAATATAACTTTGTGTTAAGATTAGTATTGGAATACGGTTCCGTCCAAATATTTGTGCATTCCAAAGGAATAGTTAAGTTTATATTTCCTGTAAATATTTTTTATAAAATGGCATTTATGTAAATACAATGTTTAGTGTAAATGTAAAATATTGAGAAAATGGGCAAAATAAAGAAATATTAAATTAAAAAATCGTTATTTTATTATAAAGCTTGCTTATGTTTGTAAACATTTACACACCCGTGCAAAAAAAAAACAAAGAAGAAAAAAAATTGAGTTTTATAATTGGCCTATGATAAAACTCACATTACAACCTGGAGTTTGATAGGCGTATGTATATACCTGGCCGCCGCTTGTTTTATAGAATCCACTTGAAGATGTCAGGATGTGACACTAAACCTGGCTGGCTATTTATTTTTTGAAAATATTAGCCTAGTCTTTTGTATAATTACGAATTAGTACAACAAATACACACACAGAGGATCGTTCATCAAGAAAAAAATGTTTCTGAGCAACTAGTTATAAATTTTCTTTGTCAGTTTTGCTTACTAACGGAAGTTCCACACTGTTCTTATAGTGCTACATCTCTAGCTGCAGTGGTTTATATTATAGACCAGGCATGGAATATAACGCCAGACTCGCGAAAGGTTTAGACTTTAGAATCTAAACAAAAAATAATCTTCAATAAAAATGATTTTGATGGCATTTATCTTCGTCTATAACCAAATCACAAACTGTGACTCAAATAAATCATTTCATCATATGATTATGATTTGAAAGCAGCAATAATTGTCATGTCTATTATAGATGTATCTTTTTCGGTACCGCTTATAAGAATTGTATATTAGTAATTAGTCAATTCAAGTGTGCTCGGTACTTATTTTCTAAACACAAGTAACCCCATTTCCTTTTCTGTGTCCCTGATAACAAATATGGACTTTCATGATGATCTGTTAAGTTTTAAACTGTTGTGTTTTAAACATATAAACTAACTTTTACACTTACAGTTTTGGTTAGTTAGGATTACATACCTTCTGTTTACCTTCACGCTTTACTTAAACATACACATGTTAAAATTCTCGCAACATATAAAAAATAACTAAAAAAACATTTTGTGGTAGACCGAATTGTGAACTTTTTGTAACCGAATTTTTTGTATGTGTTCAAGTGGATTCGATAATGATTTACATTATCGAATCCCCTTGAACACATACAAAAATTTCATCAAAATTGGTTCAGCCGTTTAGGAGTTTAATCACATATACACAAAAATTATATACCGGATGTTAGAGAAGTACCGGAACAGCAGAATAATTAGCTTGGAATACATTTTTCAGAAGACATTAAACACAAAAGTTACAGGAATTTCCCCTGGCTATTCATTGGTGACCTTGAAATTAACCTTGATCACAACCTTGAAGGTTATCTCAAGGGTCAAGGGCAATTTTCAAACGGGGTTGCATATTTTTTAACCCGGAATTGAAAAATTGGATATGACCTTCAATACGTAAATTTTGACCTCTAAAAGTAACCAATCCAAGGCATTGCACAGAAAATAAATCTCTTTTATTTTTTACCCGACTGCGCCAAGAGGAGGCTTATGTTTATCGAGTATGTACTTTTTTTTTTTCTTTTTAAGAAGACAACTCCCGCACTAGGAATAAATCCTGTGTCGCGGGGGACTTTACAAACATACGTGAAACGGACACAAAGGACACCCAGACTCAGAAAAACAATTTTTGGATCACACAAAGTGTCGTCCCATGTGGGGATCGGACCCACAACATTCAGCGTAGTAGTAAACTGCGTGGCGACCGCTTAAACCACTACGACATCCGTGCAGTCAAATTTCCAAATCAATTTACAAATATATACTCAATACTTTATTATATTTCTTTGGAATTCTCTGTAGCCTAAACGGCTTAATGTGTTTTGGAATTTGTGGTGTCGTTGGATTCGTAATTGTAAGCGTGTCACTATAAGATAATTTAAAAATTAAAATTACCGGATTGTTAATTTTAAGTCATACATTTTTACGCCTTCCGGTGTTTCTTTTTTAATAATTATACTGTTTTAAATCCCGTGCGTAGAATGCTTACCAGGTAACCAGTTGAGTGGTTACTTAGTAAGCGGACTTTAGGGCGTTAAGTAATTATGTTCAGTAATTCATCAACCACGTAAGACTAACGAACCAGCTGCAATAAGTTCTTACATTCTAGCCGATAGCTAGAACTTCCTTCTACGAAACCTAATGTAAAACTACACGCGTTTTAAATTAAAACGTAGATATGTCGACAGTGTGCGTTGTACGTAATGCCCACCCATTAACCGCTTCAACTGCACTTGCATAAGTTACAACGAATTATATTTAAATATCTAATGCGTGCGATTTACATTAGAAGTACAAGTTTCGAACTTCTTAATAGATGTAATACGCTTAGAAAATGACTGATGTAAAATGACCCTTCAAGGTGGTAAAGACCATGAGTGTTATTTGAGGATTAAAAATCAAGGAAGGTCTTAATATACTGGCGGCGCTTTGGCTGTCAATCAGGTAAAAAGTAAGCCTGATCTTTTGTGGTGTAAGTAACAAGCTTTTGGAGTGTTTAGTAAACCACATTTTTCTTTTTAATGTTGAAAAGTACAAGTGCGTTTGACATTCATACTTGAGAAAGGTTGCAACAGAAGATAGATTTAAATACACTATTCTTACTCTTTTGTGTAGCAGGCTCTGAGGAAGCACTTGCCCCCTCCAAGGACACGACAAAATGACGTTCCTAGTTAAAATTCCTAGTTAAACTTTGATAGTTAATAATAAAAAACGGATAAACTATTATCTATGAATATTTTTAGACCAATAATACTTGGATTTTATCATTTGAATATCATAAAGAAACTTTTTTTTATTTCTAAACAAAAATTGATGATCTTACAGAAAAGTTTAACTGTTCTGTGGTTGATCATGTATAAAACAAAAACACTCATAAAAAAGGAACAAAAACAGCTTTATACTCAAACTGCTTCCTTCTTAACGCTCTGTACATAAAGCTCTAGTAAAACTTTGATCCATTGTTATTTCAAGCCTGTCTGACCGCAGCTCGATGAATTATTGATGTCTAGGATATATACGTGATACTAAGCGAATACGCGCTATAACGAGATACAAAAGCCATGCAACCCATTGTTCATAAAATAAAAAAATATATATATTAATGTGAACCCAATCGACACAAGGAAGCGTTTGTTCATTATATGAAAGAACATGTTTGTAGGGTAATAAATGGTCCCGGTCTTCTTTTCGTGTACCGAGTTATGTTATGGTATCTTGAATATCAAGATGTGATCAATATGTTCATTTATAGAATTAATAATAAATGGCTAATGCGTCTTAAGATGGACGGTATAATTGCATAGACAGTAATGAAATAATGAGTATACGATGTGAGCGAGTTATGAATTATATTTACAATTTTTGTGTCATTTTTATACATCATTATATAATGGTGGTATAATGTCGAAGAAGTGTAGCGTTTTAGAAATTTAGATTGCCTCGAAAATACGTAAATTCACTAAGTAGTTTAACCAATCTACCAATTACATAACACAACGTGTCTACGAAGACTATGAAAATGACAATAAATTAACATTTCAGTGAATTCTTATATTATAACTTATTCAAGACCGTTAGATTTACTAAAAAATCTAAAACATATAATATTAGGTATAGCCTAACCGGGTCCTTCTGAGAGTGATCTGGGTCCTCTCCTTTGTCGGTCATCAAAAGCAAAGCTGTAAGGATGGTTTTTGGTTGACACACCACATTCTTCTAGCTCCTGAAACACTCCTGTAATGCCATCGTGGCGATACCTGGCCTGAGCGTGTATCGCCACAATGGCCCAGGGCAACGCCTCT